GTGGCGCAGCCGCAGCCAGGGAGTGGTACCCATTTGAGATGCGAGTGTGGCGACAATTTTTTACCCGTTTCGCTATCTCGCTGGCCGCAACTCTCATCAGTTATGACAGGCCCCTGTCTGGACTCCTTGGAACGGTTATCTCAGCGGAGAAGACAGGTCAGTGTCACTTTTATGTTTGGTTTGACTTTGCATATTCTGACATAAAGGAAACTGGGCTCATTAACGACAGGCAGAGGAAACAGTGAGAGAGAGACAGAGAGAAAGGTCTTCCTTTGCCGTTGGTTCACCCTCCAATGGCCGCCACGGCCAGAGCCCTGATCCAATGGCAGGAGCCAGGTGCTTCTCCTGGTCTCCCATGCAGGTGCAGGGCCCAAGCACTTGGGCCATCCTCCACTGCACTCCCTGGCCACAGCAGAGAGCTGGCCTGGAAGAGGAGCAACCGGGATAGAATCCGGCGTCCTGACCAGGACTAGAACCCGGTGTGCCGGCGCTGCAAGGTGGAGGATTAGCCTAGTGAGCCTCGGCGCCGGCCGACTTTACATATTCTTAAACTGGGATATACAGCCTGCAAATCAAGAATGGCATGTCTGAGAGATGGGGAGGTGTCAGGCATGTCCGTGCATTGAGGTTGCTCTTTAAAGATCCTTATTTTATAAGATCCTTTATGTAGCATGGTCCAGCATATCCACTAAATTTATCTTGAAAATCGTATCTTTCCAGGACTATCCAGAAAGTACATAATGTATTTAATAGCTAGCATGACAATCAACTCCAGCTTAATGATTTTCAAGAAAAATTACAAAAGACATCTTCTACATATATACACACATATACATAAACTGCTTTTATAACTTGCTTAAAATAATGTTTGTCTATTAGTCAGCCTTTTGATACTAAAATGAAATCCCTGAGGCAGGCAACTACCTCACAGTTGTGGAAGTACAAAGTCCAAACAGCATGATGAGGCTCCGGCAGGAGCCCCTTGGACTGCATCATCTCATGGCAAAGGGACCCATTTGGGTCTCTTTTCCTATCCTTACAAAGTTACCAGAATTCAGTCACGAGGGCCCTGCATAGTGACCTAATCTAATATAACCACTTTCCAAAGGCCTCTGCCTCTGTGCCAGTCAAATTAAGTTTCTGCCCTCTTGATACCATTACCATAAGATTTGGGGATTAAATTTATGCATGAGTCTGGGAACAAATAATCAAAATATGGCAGCCTGCTACTATGAGTGATCTTACAATTACAGTCTAGAATCTGAATACACACAATTAAGTAGGATTTATACTTACCAGAAGTAAAGTCCTTGAATTGTATATATTCCATGGCCCTATGAATCTGACCCTGTTTACACAGGCAGAGTAGAACTTTCTTGTGCAGGTCACATTCACTGTAGATAATTTGAGCTAAAGCCAAGCACTTGGATTTGTTATAAGTATCCTGCTCCCCATAATCACAAATCACATCCCCAGCCTTCTCAGAGAATGTCAGCCTAGAACAGAAGAACAGCAAGGTACACATGAGAGAATTCTTGAAAACTCAGCACAGCAGAACCAGATTTTCCATGGCCTGTAAGAATACCAAGTGATATAAAGAGAAATTTAACATATTGGAGAGATTTAACAACAGGAATAACAAAAATCAGCATATATCCCTTCAGCAGAAGACATTTTGGCAAAGCTGATCTCGGGCCGGTGTCAAGGCTCACTAGGCTAATCCTCCGCCTGTGGCACCGGCACACCGGGTTCTAGTCCCGGTCTGGGTGCTGGATTCTGTCCCGGTTGCTCCTCTTCCAGTCCAGCTCTCTGCTGTGGCCCAGGAGTGCAGTGGAGGATGGCCCAAGTCCTTGGGCCCTGCACCTGCATGGGAGACCAGGGGAAGCACCTGGCTCTTGGCTTTGGATCAGCAGAGTTTGTCGGCCGCAGTGTGCCAGCTGCAGCGGCCACTTCAGGGGGTGAACCAATGGAAAAGGAAAACCTTTCTCTCTGTCTCTCTCTCTGTCTACTCTGCCTGTCAAAAATAAAAATAAATAAATAAATATTAAAAAAAAAGCTAATCTCAAGTTGTTTTTTTTTTTTTTTAATCTACTAAGTTGAACCTCTCCTGAAAAGACTGGTAGGATTTAAAATTATAAGGTACACAAAAAATTTTTTTAAACAATAACACTTTTATTTGTTTGTTTGTTTGTTTATTAATTGACAGAGTTAGTGAGAGAGAGTACAGAGAGAAAGGTCTTCCTTCCATTGGTTCACCCCCAAAATGGCCACTACGGCCGGAACTACACGGATCAGAAGCCAGGAGCCAGGTGCCTCCTCCTGGTCTCCCTTGTGGGTGCAGGCGCCCAGGCACTTGGGCCATCCTCCACTGCCTTCCCAGGTCACAGCAGAGAGCTGGACTGGAAGAGGAGCAGCCAGGACTAGAACCCGGTGCCCATATGGGATGCTGGCGCCTCAGGTAGAGGATTGCCGGCCCCACTTTTTTTTTTTTTTTTTTTTTCAAAGACAAAGTTACAGAGAGAGGTAGAGACAGAGAGAAAGGTCTTCCATCCACTGGTTCACTCCCCCAGATGGCCGCAATGCCCGGAACTGCACCAATCCAAAGCCAGGAGCCAGGTCCTTCCCCTTGGTCTCCCACGCAGGTGCAGGGGCCCTAGGACTTGGGCCATCTTCTATTGCTTTCCCAGGCCATAGCAGAGAGCTGGACGGGAAAAGGAGCAGCCAGGACTAGAACTGGTGCCTATATGGGATGCCAGCACTTCAGGCCAGGGTGTTAACCCACTGTGCCACAGTGCCTGCCCTCAAAAATTCTCTTTTAATTGGGGTTCTCAATGTTTTCAGCAGTTATCTAGATTCTGAACCTTGTGGAATGTAAGACTTTATTGAACATTGTGTAAACACAGAGACAACAATTTCAGCTTATAATTAGTGATAAATCTTGCAATAATTTGTACTAAAAGGAAAACAGAGACTGTGACAGCACTATTATTTCATAAACTGTTTATAGCTTTATAAGAAGCAACAGAAGAAATGGAGACAATTGTGCCTAATGGGAGAACTAAAGTAATTCTTTCGAGATGACCCAATTGATAGATTTTACTTCTCATACTGTACTGTGCCACTTTCATAAACAGGTGAAGTGAGCCACCTATACCATCATAGAAACTCCACCTAGAAACTATTTACATAAGCCAAAACAACATTTGAGTATGATGAAATACATCAATTCTAATCATTGGTTGTAGGGAAATGGTGCTTCAGTTATATTTCAATTAATAGCAATAAAACTACAGTATGCATATAATATTTGTGTCCGTATTCATCTAACAGAATGCTGATAATATGAAAATGAGATTCAGAGAACCCTAAAAGAATATGTCTTTACTGAAAATCCAGTAAACAAAGGCTTGTGTTTGCCTCAGAAAGGTGGGTCTAAAATTAGAAGGCAGTGGGCAACTTTGGGTATAAATAAATCATTTAGTAAAGGAAGGTAGACTTTTGGCATAGTGATAGGATGCCCACACCCTGTATCACAGCATCTGGGTTCAAGTTCCAGCTCCAGCTCCTGATTCCTGCTAGAGGCAGCAGTGATGGCTCCAGTAGTTGGGTACTTGCCACCTATATGGGAGAACCGGATTGAGTTTCAGGCTCTCAGCTTTGGCTTGGCCAAGCGTTTGTAAAGTAAAACAGCAGATGGGAGATCTCTGTTTGTCTCTCAGCCTTTTGAAAAACTAAAAATGTAGGGGCTGGTGTTGTGGCGTAGCTGTTAAAGCTGCCACCTGTAATGCCAGCATCCCATATGAGGGCCAGACAAGAATTGGCTGTTCCACTTCTGATCCAGCTCCCTGCTAACGTCCCTGGGAAGGCAGTGGACAATGGCCCAAGTGCTTGGGCTCCTGCACCCACATGGGAGACCTGGAAGAAGTTCCTGGCTCCTGGCTCCTGGCTCCTGGCTCCTGGCTTCAGCCTGACCTGGCCTAGCCCCAGCCATTGGTTTAGGGAGTGAGTCAGTGGAAGGAAGATTCTCTTTCTCTCTCTCTTCCTCTCTCTTTGTAACTCTGACTTTCAAATAAATAAATAAATAAATCTTTTTAAAAAATAAATGGAAGAGTTACACAGAGAGAGGAGAGGCAGAAAGAGAGAGAGAGAGAGAGGTCTTCCATCCAATGATTCACCCCCCAATTGGCTGCAATGGCCAGAGCTGCACCAATCCAGAGTCAGGAGCCAGGAGCCTCTTCTGGGTCTCCTACGTGGGTGCAGGGGCCCAAGGACTTGGACCATCTTCTACTGCTTTCCCAGGCCATAGCAGAGAGCTGGATCAGAAGTGGAGCAGCCAGGACTCGAACCAGAGCCCACATGGGATGCCAGCACTGCAGGCGGCAGCTTAGCTGGCCCCCCAAAAAATACTTTTTTCAAACATAATGTCAATTTTGCCAACTCCACAAAAAGAGAGATTGCAGTTATTACAATGAATACGTAGTTTTTCCACTTTTTGTTGAAATATGAAATATATGTATAATATTTGCAGTCAATAAGGACAACATTCACACTTTCCATAAAGTTTCATTTTAAATAAAAGGTTTCCTTGCTCTGACATTAACACTACTGTCAAAACATAAAATAATGGTTGGCACTAGCATAACAGGTTAAGCTGCTGCTTGCAACACTAGCATTCCACATCAGAGTGCCAGTTTGAGTCTCCACTTCTGGATCCACCTGTATGCTAATGCACTTAGGAAGGTAGCAGAGGATGGCCCAAGTGTTTCTCTCCTGCCCTCCATGTGGGAGACCTGGATGAAATTCCTGGCTTCAGCCTGGTCCAGCCCTAGCTAGTGTGGTCATTTGGGGAATGAACCAACAAATGGAAGCTTGTTTTCTCAATCTCAATCTCAATCTCAATCTCTCTCTCTCAACCTCTCTCTCTCTCTCACTGTCTCTCTCTCTCTTTTTCTCTCTCTCTCTCTCCCCTCCCCATGCTCTACCTTTAAAAAAAAAAACACACATATTTTGATAAACCCAGAAGATCAGGAAGTATGTCAAGAAGCAATATAGGCTTGGCCGGCGCCGTGGCTCACTTGGCTAATCCTCCACCTGCGGTGCTAGCACCCTGGGTTCTAGGCCTGGTTGGGGCGCTGGGTACTAGTCCCTATTGCTCCTCTTCCAGTCCAGCTCTCTGCTGTGGCCAAGGAGTGCAGTGGAGGATGGCCCAAGTGCTTGAGTCCCTGCACCCATATGGGAGACCAGGAGGAAGCACCCAGCTCCTGGCTTCAGATCAGTGCAGCGCTGGCTGTAGTGGCCATTAGGGGAGTGAACCAACGGAAGGAAGACCTTTCTCTCTGTCTCTCTCTCAATGTCTATAACTCTACCTGTCAAATAAAAGAAAAAAAAAGCAATACAAGCTTTTTACACTAGAGTAATTGGTTCTGCCACAAATGATATTTAAGGTTACTGAGGGATAGAAGTTAAAAAAAAAAAAAGATGGTTTTTGGAAGAACAGCTCTGCCATGCAGTTTATGCTCCAGAGTCATCTGCCCATAAATCAGACTGGGCTGACTTCGCCTGAGGCCACATCCCTACTTGGTCCTTTCCTCTTCCCTCTTCTGCTTCACTCCTTCTTCTATAGGTATTTCCTGAGAAACTCTCCTTCTCTCACTCATGTGCATCCAAATTCCTGTCTGAGACTTTGGTTCTAGGGAACCTAACCTGAGAACTGCATGAGCCTGGCAGTCTGTGCTGAGACCCAGCTCCCAGAAGCCACCTGCTGTCTGTCCCTGTTAATCTGTGTTCTTCTTTTTTTTCTCATTTTTTTTAATTTAGTAAATATAAATTTTCAAAGTACAGTTAATGGATTACAATGGCTTCCCCCCCATAATTTCCCTCCCACTCACACCCCTCCCCTCTCCTGCTCCCTCTCCCATTCCATTCACATCAAGATTCATTTTCAATTATCTTTATATACAGAAAATTAATTCAGTATATATTAAGTAAAGATTTCATCAGTTTGCACCCACACAGAAACACAAAGTGTAAAATACTGTTTCAGTACAAGTTGTAGCATTACTTCACATTGGACAACACACTAAGGACAGATCCCACATGAGAAGTAAGTACACAGTGACTCCTGTTGTTGACTTACCAATTTGACACTCTTGTTTATGGTGTCAGTAATCTCCCTAGGCTCTAGTCATGAGTTGCCAAGGCTATGGAAGCCTTTTGAGTTCACCGACTTCGATCTTATTCCGACAGGGTCATAGTCAAAGTGGAAGTTCTCTCCTCCCTTCAGAGAAAGGTACCTCCTTCTTTGATGGCCCCATTCTTTCCACTGAGATCTCACTCGCAGAGATCTTTCATTTAGGTCTTCTTTTTTTTTTTTTTCCCAGGATGTCTTGGCTTCCCATGCCTAAAATACTCTCATGGGCTCTTCAGCCAGATCCGAATGCTTTAAGGGCTGATTCTGAGACCAGAGTGCTATGTAGGACATCCGCCATTCTATGAGTCTACTGTGTATCCTGCTTCCCATGATGGATCGTTCTCTCCCTTTTTGATTCTATCAGCTAGTATTAGCAGACACTAGACTTGTTTGTGTGATCCCTTTGACTCTTAGACCTATCAGTGTGATCACCTGGAACCAACCCAAATGCCCATCAACAGTAGACTGGATAAAGAAATTATGGGACATGTACTCTATAGAACACTATACAGCAGTCAAAAACAATGAAATCCGGTCATTTGAAACAAGATGGAGGAATCTGGAAAACATTATGCTGAGTGAATTAAGCTAGTCCCAAAGGGACAAATATCATATGTTCTCCCTGATCAGCGACAACTAACTGAGCACCAAAGGGGAAACCTGTTGAAGTGAAATGGACACTATGAGAAACAGTGACTTGATCAGCTCTTGTCCTGACTGTTGATGTACAATGTAATACTTTATCCATTTTAGTATTTTCTCTTTGTTTTGTTCTAGTACTATTGGTTGAACTCTGTGATTAACACACAATTATTCTTAGGTGTTTAAATTTTAACTGAAAAGTGATCCCTGTTAAATATAACAGTGGGAATAAGAGAGGGAGGAGATGTACAATTTGGGACATGCTCAATCGGACTTGCCCCAAATGGTGTAGTTAGAATCATGCCAGGGGATCCCAATACAATCCCATCAAGGATGCATGTACCAATGCCATCTCGCTAGTCCAAGTGATCAGTTTCAGTTCATAATTAATTTGTGTTCTTCTAAGTGCTACCTTGGTCCACGTTCTTCTGACTTACAGGGGTTTGGGTCTTTCCTTTACACGTACTCACAGACAGCTAGAACCAGGTGCTGCCTTTTCCTACCCAGCAGTATGACACTGGCCAACTTCCTATCCTTACTGCTCAACTTCCACCCACCATTAAGTCATCATGAATTATCTGTGAACTTTGCTGAATGAACTCTTCATCTGGACTCCCTGTGACTGTGCCTCATTGCTCTGTGAATACCTTTAAGTATTTCTAACTGATAAAGTACAAGAGACCTGCAGTAACTCAATACTATACTGAAAAGAAAACTATTAAAATTTTGAGAATGAGGGCCAGCGATGTGGCGCAGCAGGTTAAAGCCTTGGCCTGAAGCGCTGGCATCCCATATGGGCGCCAGTTCTAGTCCTGGCTTCTCCTCTTCTGATCCAGCTCTCTGCTATGGCCTAGGATAGCAGTAGAAGATGGCCCAAGTCCTTGGGCCCCTACACCCTTGTGGGAGACCAGGAACAAGCTCCTGGCTCCTGGCTTCGGCCTGGTGCAGTTCCGGCCATTGCGGCCATCTGGGGAGTGAACCAGCGGATGGAAGACCTCTCTCTCTCTCTGTCTCTATCTTTCTCTGTAACTTTTTTTTTTTTTTTTTGACAGGCAGAGTGGACAGTGAGAGAGAGAGAGACAGAGAGAAAGGTCTTCCTTTGCCGTTGGTTCACCCTCCAATGGCCGCCGCAGCTCTAGCACCGCGGCTGGCACACCGCGCTGATCTGATGGTGGGAGCAAGGTGCTTCTCCTGGTCTCCCATGGGGTGCAGGGCCCAAGCACTTGGGCCATCCTCCACTGCACTCCCTGGCCACAGCAGAGAGCTGGCCTGGAAGAGGGGCAACCGGGACAGAATCTGGCACCCCGACCAGGACTAGAACCCAGTGTGCTGGCGCCGTAAGGCAGAGGATTAGCCTAGTGAGCCGCGGCGCCGGCCGTCTCTGTAACTCTTTCAAATAAATCTTCAAAAAAATTTTTTTGAGAATGAACAACTTTATTAACCAAAAGTCAAAATTAAGTTAAAAGGTTAACTTTGCTTACTTTTCCTGGGTGACCCAATTGATAACCAAATCCAGCCGTTTTTCCGATAATCCACATTTGATTCCTTCCAGGGTTAGTTCCGCATCAATAGGCTGTCTAAAAGCATGACTTGTGCTAAACACAGCCTCAAAAAATAGGAGTAATGGAAGAGGCTTTCCTCTAATTTTCCCAACAGCTACAAGAAGAAGAAAAGTGTTTGAGTCAAATACTTTAAGAGATATTTGCTTTTCCTTATTTCATATTACTATTTTAATCTCTTGCATTTTCTAAAACCTTAACCCAAAAATTACACATTCATAATTTTAACTAATATATGTAAATTTTATATTTTAGATCATAACTAAATATTATTATCCTTGCCATATAAACACGGAGGCAGAGATTGGACTGATTTGTCTATAAACAAAGGGATAACAAAAACAGCTGACGGTTGCCAAAAGCTGGGAGAAAGGCATGGAAGACAATCCCCCTTAGAGCCTCCAGAAAGAATCAACCCTGCTGATACCTTGGTTTCAAACTTGTGACCTCCATAAAATTGTAAGAAAATACTTTTCTTTTTAGCCACAGGAGTGTCCCATTAATGGTGCATATGTGCCATAACCAAAGAAAAACTAAGATTTAAACACAGAAAACAAAAGACGTAGTTGCAAATACAGAGAGGATAAAATTCTTCATGCAGGAACTGGGGCTTGGTGCAGCAGTTAAGATGTCACTTAGTACGTCATCATGCCACACTGGAGTGTCTGGGTTCAAGTTCCAGTTCTGTTCCTGATTTCTGCTTCCTACTAACGCACAGCTGGGAGGCAGCAAGTCACAGCTCATGCAGTTGGGTCCTTGCCACCCGTGTGGAAGACCCAGATTGAGTTATGGGCTCCTGCTTTTGGCATGGCCCAGCTTTGGCTGTTGCAGGCATTTGAAGAGTAAACCAGAGATGGAAGATTTCTCTCTTCCTCTGTGTGTGTGTGTGTGTGTGTGTGTATCTGCCTTTCAATAAAAATATTTTTAAAAAAATTTCCATATCAAACTATACTGCCACAAGTGAAACAAAATATAAAACTCGATATTCAGAGGTACCTGCTTAGTTTGACATCCTTTAATATTGAAAATAATTAAATGAGAACTGACAAATTGAGATCTTGACATTTATATGTAGACTCAGCTAATGATCAAACATAGAATCTCAATCACATATTCACATGACAATAATTCATTTTTATTTAAACTGTATATAATAAAGTCAATTTGAGTTCTTAAACAACCCATTAAATTATTTTCCTTTTATGAGCAGAAAATATTTTTTCCCAGATTTTTATTTAACTGGAAGTAAGGAATAAGAGAAGAGCCAGACATGGGTGTCTTAGAATTGGGTATAAGGAGGTATGTTTTCTTCTTTACTGTTCTACTCCTCCTCTTCTAATCTCTAAGCAGTTGTAGGGAAGGATTAGGTAGGGGACAGGAAAGATCTTATTCAACAGGTGCTGTGGTGATCTGGCTTCCTAAGTATGGCAGATGAACAAAGATACCAGTGTTTAATATTCCCCTTGAAAATGTAAAAGTGAGAGATCAGAGTGAGAGAAGAGAGATAAAGTGGAAGAAAACTCAAATTCCACAAGACTGCATGTTCAAGGGTGAAGAGGACTCCATGATAGGTATGTAGGCTGGACTTTAAGGTCTTCCAAAGAGTTATCATCCAGGATCAGGTGACCTCAGCTAACAGGGTCTTTGGGAGGGACACACCATCAGAAGCAGTGGAGAGGAGTCTTAGGGAACCACTAAAGCAATATCTTTTTTTTTTTTTTTTTTTTTTGACAGGCAGAGTGGACACTGCAGAAAGAGAGAGACATAGAGAAATGTCCTCCTTTGCCGGTGTGTCACCATCCCTCAGGACGTGACTGATGGCGCTCATAAGGTTCTATCGAATGTCTGACACCCCCTTCTAATAAATGTGTTCGCTCCACAGGGTGGGGCCAGTAAGTTGGGGGCATTACCACACTGCACTACCTTGAGCACATGAAACAGTGAAACGCATAAAATTGTGAAGGGAAATTTAAAACCTGGTCCTGTTTACTTCTTGAAAACTGGTGATCTTGTGCGAACTAGTGAAGTCATATTACCCTAAGAAGAACCCCCGT